CCCGCAGGCCCACCCCCGCCCACGCCAGCACTCAACCCCGCCCCCGTCGGCTGTTGCCCCCGCCCCAGGCCTCGCACTCGAAGCTACCCCGGTCCCACCTATGGTGGGCGTGGCCCTGGGGAGGGTCCGAGGTGGGGCACAAAACCCCATTTTGGGAGTTAAGCCCACGGGGTGCGTGCTCTCGCTGTGCACCCCCCACTATTTTTATTTTTATTTTTTTAATTTTTTTAATTTTTTTTGTGGGGGGGGGTTCTGGAGCCGAGGTCGGGGGTGCCCACCCTCGAACCCCCGCCGGGGCTCGACAACCCTGCCCAGAAGGTAGGTAAATGGACCGAGATTTGGAAAACAGGTTTTTAGGTCCACGTAGGAAAGAAGGGGCTGTGGGTCGAGTGAAAACGCTTGACACTTGTGTTCCACGATGGGGATTTCGGTTTGTGGGTTCCGGGAAGTCACCTCGCGTCTTCCGAATCCATTTGTCGCTGTCCTGTGGGGTCCTACCCTTATATTGCTTATCTATACTTTTTCGTGGGATTGTCTATGTGTCATCCCCGAGTTGTTTCTTTGTTAATTTTGTTTTGTTTAAACTCCTGCGTGACATGGCTGGGAGGGCTCCCGCCTCTTCGCGAGAAAAGGCGGGGGTCGATGCGCTCGACAACGATGGACCACAAAACATGGGTAACAGTTTTCGTTCCCAGGACGGCTCATGTTGCGCCGAACTTTTCCATATTGAACTCCCCTCACTCATTCTGGTTGTGCAGACTCTTCGGTGGACTCAGGCCAAGATCGAAGAACTGGCTGCAACGCCATGTTCTTCCCCGGATGCAACAGACGTTGCACCGAGTTTTTCCATATTAACTCCCCTTGCTCGTTCAAATCACATGTTCAGTTGTGAAGGTCAAACCAAATGGCTTTGAAGGATTGACGGATGTCAGATACTGCCACGGGGTCCTTCTCTATGTTATAGGCTTCTTTGTTTTCTCCCAGGCCTGGTGGGCTCGTAGCACGATTGCTGCGGCTATGTCGGATTTAACTTCTGGGTATACATAAGTGCACTCGCCTCTGGCTCTCCAAAGCGCACTTGGCTCTCCACACTGTCATGAGTATGTACGGGCGTGTATACTGGCAAAGATTATGTTGGTACGAGGTCGGATGCGGTCCAGGTCTTCGAAAGTTTATCTACATTCCCCAAAAGGATGTAGGCAGTGTCCCACAAGTAGTTTAAAAAAAGAAAAAAGTAGTCAGCAGACCTAATATAGTTCCACGCAGCTGCCCACCACCTCGGAGTCCATATATGTGTAGTCATGGGCCATTCCAGGAGGCGCAATGCTCCAAAGTTGCCCTCCTCGAGGGGGCCACAGTGTTGGCAGATGGGAACGGGCGTTTTAACCACCAGTATGTTTCCCCGCTTGAAAACCACATATGCGGCCCGTTTACGGGTGCAACTTTCATCAATGCCCTTTGTTGCGTTTCTGGCCGTACATAGGGTCGTACAACCGTTCATACTGGACTGTACGAGCCAGTACAACGGGGTAGATGGGGGGAACGGGCGGTACTGGTGTGGTGGGGGGTGGAGGCGGTGTGTGTGTGTGCGAGCGTGTATGTGTGTACGAGCGTGTGAGTGTGCACGAGCGTGTGTGTGTGCAGGGCGTGAGTGAGTGTGTCTGCGCAGGACCGTGTGTGTGTGTGTGTGCATGTGCGTGTGTATGTGCCTGTGTGTGTGCGTGTGTGTGTGCGATTGTGAGTGTGTGTTTGTGTGTGTGTGTGTGTGTGCGTGTGTGTGTGTGTGTGTGTGTGTGTGTGTGTGTGTGTGTGTGTGGTCGCGTCGTCCCTTCCCCGCTCTAGCCGGGTGCGCCAGCTATACATCTCATGGTCCCCTACGACAGGATAGGTTTTCACAGGGCATAAGCTTGCTTCCCTAAGGGGTTGTCACCACCCTTAGGGGCGTATACCTACCGAGTTACCGACCCACATGCGAAAGCTTTTACATGCAGTTGCAGAGGTGGGTCAGCCGAGGGCGTTTGCTCGCTCGCTGTAGTATAGGTACGCGTGATTAAAACGCCTATTGAATCCGGACGTCGTTCATTTCTTAAGGCGCTGATCTCCTAACTACGAAGCGTTTATTCCCCACAGACGATTTAAGAGTAGACCCACATACCCGATTTCATACGTTTTATAATTTTTTTGGATGACGGACTGTTTTGCGGATGATTCTTGATCAGGGGTATTGCTTGAGGTGTTGCATGCCTCTCCCTCTAGAAAGTGGTCTGGGATACTCCTCCTCCTCGCTCGAGCACAAGACTCGGATCTCAAAAGTCGGGACGTCTTCACTGAATCGGCAAAGTACCCCCCGTAGAACGGTCCACTCTGGGTCGATAACAAGGCCGGCTCCTGAAGCAATGAACCCTCGCCCCAGATGCTTCCAGAAGAAAGAGAATGTGTTCACCACAAATAGATTTTCAGTTGTCTCCTTCGTTTCTTGCCCAAGGTAACTCAAACGAAAATAGTTAGAAAATATAGAGAATGAGAACTATTGAGACAGATAAAAGTCATTCATAAAAAAAAGATGTATCTGCTTTATTTAATTTGATTTCGTCTTACGGTGCGCGCAAAATTGAGATTTTTCAAAACAACCAACCCTTCTTGGCATGCAGGCAGGTGAGAAGTCAAAAGAAGACACTCATTTTCCATTTTCTCAAATAAACATAATCAATCTCCTTTGCAAGCATCCTTCTACCTACCTGCATACAGAAAAAGAACCAACAGGTCCAGAAAATCCAGCAACCCATACTCCTGTCAGATCTCATTTTTCACATGCATGACCGGGTACGTTTTACTCAACCTTTCCTTTTGAACATTCAAAACAAACATGGTCAAGCAAAGTGTGGGCTCATACAGGTGTGAAAATGAATTTGAGTCAATCAACTGACCGACCTTGAGTAAAGTGGTTCCGAACGCACCTTGGCTCACTCAAGAAAGCCAAGAAAGAATATACTTGTCGCTAAAGAAAACTGCAGTCCCAAGGCAAGTCTTAAGCCAACTCCTTGTCCCAATCTGTTCCCGACTCGCAAGTCCAGATCATGTTTTTTTTTTTGGCCTGTTTTGTTTTTGGTCAAGGTCTGTATGTGCCAAGTTTGGTGTTTGTTGGACTCCTGGAGATGGTTGTTTTGGGCAGTGGTGAAAATTGTGAAAACCGACAAATTGAAATGTTGGTGAAATTTCATGAAAGTGCACTTCTGGCTTGCTGTTTTATATGTTTTTTTTTTTTTTTTTTTTTTTTTTTTTACAATATGTTAGTAAGAAATGCACTCTACAGATTGATGTAAAGTATGGCTAAAATGACCGTTTGGTTTTCTTATAAATGAGGATGAAAGTTGGGGGGTCGGTTAACCTTCTCTCGGCAGTCCCAGATTTGATGGCGGCAAGTCGCATGAGTCCCAAAAAAAATATTGGTTCCAAGACAGTCCCAACTGGTCCCACGTCTGTTCCAACCGGTCCCAAGTGGTCCTTGATGGTCCTACGCCACCAACATTCGCTCCTCACGCAGATTTCATAGTGTCGCGCGCGCCAACTGCCACCATGTCACGTTGCCGCCGCTGCACACTCCAACTCTGGTAGCACAACCTCATCAAACAAAACAGACGTGGCGCCGTAGAAAAAAACTTCGTCGCTGCCGTGCCGCAAATCCCTGTTGTCGTGTCGCTAATCCATCAACATTTCCACACCAAAGAAAAAATAAGTATCGCAGCGCCACCAATCCGGCAACATCTCCCCGCAAAAAAAAATCAAGTGCTGCCGCGCCGCAAATCCGGCAGCACTTATCCGCTAAAAGAAAAATCAAGTGTTGCCGCGCCGCAAATCCGGCAGCACTTCCCTGCCAAAAGAAAGATCAAGTGTCGCCGCGCCACAAATCCGGCAGCACTTCTCCGCCAAAAGAAAATCAAGTGTCGTCGCGACACAAATCCTACAGCACTTCCCCGCCAAAAAGAAAGATTAAGTGCCGCCAATCGAACAGCACCTGCCCCTTGAAATAAACCAGTGCCGTCGAGTCATCACTCCGACGACACAATCTCACTGAAAAAACACAGCGTCGACGTGACGGTACTTCGCCGACACAACCCCACTAAAACGGAGATGCGGCCTGCCACATTGCCGCAAACTGGCTCAAGGCTCTGGCTCCACCTAGAGCAACATCGCCTCCTCTCAACTCTCCAACTCCTCCAACTTGTTCTCCAACTTGCAAACCTCCTCCAACTTGTTTTTCCAAGCCCTCTTCCACCTGACCTCCAACACTCCTCCAGCTGCCTCACTGCTGCCTCAAAGCTCCTTCAAGGATCACTGTATACCCCTCACCTCTTGCTAGGCCACCGCTTCAGTGTACCTCTACCTGGGCTAGCCACCCCAAGTAGTTGCCAGGGATGCTGATAAGAGCAGTCACCACTAGCAAGCTCGGAGAGGCTCCATCTATTGGTGGGGAGCATCACCTGCTGGAAAACGGGTCCAACGTCCTTGATATAGTCATGGAGGAGAGAAACCTGTGTTGCTTTAGTTATGGGTTCATGTCATACATGCAAGCGCACGTCGTGCGGGCGGTTCCCTACGTGCGGCGCACGCGCCCAACCGATCCCGTGCAGCGCACGACGTATGCGGAGAACGACCCGTCACCCCCCTTAGAAAAAAATAAAAGGCCGGGGTCGAAACGGTGCGTTTGAGGCCCCCCACCAAAATTATAAGCGAGATGAAAAAAAAAATTACAGGAGTAGTGCCTCACCTTGCTCCTCCTCCCCTTCCTCATCCTCCATGTCTCCTCCTCCCTTCTCCTTTTCGTCTCCTCCTCCTCCTCCTCCTCCTCCTTCTCCTCCTCCTGTTCGTCGGCGTCCTCCTCCTCCTCCTCCTGTTCGTCGTCGTCATCGTCCTCCTCCTCCTCGTACTTCCTCATCTCCCATGCCTCCTCATCTCCTTCCCTTCCTCGTGTCCTCCCCTTCCTCGCCGTCCATGCCTTCTCCTCCCACTCGTCCTCCTCCTCCTGCCCTTCCTCTTTTCCCTCCGTCCATTTCTTCTCCTCCCCCATCTCGACTCCTCCTCCTCGTCGTCCTCGCTATCCTCGTCGTCCTCCTCGTCCGTATCCTCCTCCTCCTCTCCATATCCCCCTCTCCTTGCCATATCCCCATCTTCCTGTCATACGCCCCCCCGTTCCCCCTCCCAAAAATAATAATAATAATAATAATAAAAATAAAAAACCTGCACGATTCCGCACAAGCAACCCCTGCACGGAACTCCGTACAGAACTCCGCACGAAT